ATATGTATATATATATATAGGTCATAGAAGGTTTCAAGAAGTTTTACAGAATTTTCATGGTTTCACAAGATGAGGACCACCCCGATCCCTGCGACTGTGAGTATTGTAGAACCACGACAACATTTTGAGGGTTTTTAACGGCGACAACAACTGCAAGGATGGCGATGAGGACCAATCCGATCCCTGTGAACCGTTGGTACTGTTGAAATGCGACAACCGTGAGTGGCCAAGAGTATCCGGCAGCCACGATGGCAGCGCCTTTAAGGCGCCAGAAACGACGACAATTACGAGGATGGCGACCCCGAGAGGGCACTTTTAGAAGCACACAAAGGGGGAGAAGCTTTGGGGGGGCAAACCTCGTATGACGAGTATAGGTTAGGCCAATCCTCCTTACAGCAAAAGCTATTGGAGCTACCCCATGAAGGACAGTTACTGTGAAGGGGAATGGCTCAAGGAATGTGACTTTATAAAGCTGTTGCACTGGACAGGTCATCATGTGAAGTTTCCATTTCATATTCCACGTTCTTTTCATCTGCTTCTCAATTATTGGGGTACTGTAGCCTATAGTCCTATGAACCATGGCAAAGTTGACGCGCGCTGGGCTGGAGAGTTTTTCCTTTATTCAATGGTGGTTGAATGGTGTTCTTGGCTCTTTTTGGGGGTTTAGGATTTAGGGGTTCAGGGCTGAGGGATTTAGGGTTTGGGGTTAAGAGCTAACATACTGACTTTAGGAATTCCATTCCCTTGTTCCCAAATGTCGAACTGGTGTCAAGATGATGTCTTTCATTTCTCTATGTCTTTTGCTCTGGGAATTCTCCAGGGATTGGGTGGTTACGGGTTCTTCGTGAGGCAGAGCAGTCAACCTTTTTGATCCAAAACCTTATAGCCCTGAGATCTATAAATCTCATAGACCCAGTAAAGGCCTCTAACAACCCTATAACTGCTTAAAGCCCGTAACCCAGAACATTAAACCCATATTTCTGCAAATCTCAAGGCAAAGCCGGCTGATGTGAAGGCGGCCCTGCAGAAGGGGTTCGGCTTCTACCAAATGCTCCTTAGCTGAGACTCTGGGTGTTGGGTAACGGGCTTATATACCGGGACTCTCCAGGTATCCTTAAAAGGAATTTCTCTAGGTGCTATTTGCGTGCTAGTACTTGGGAGTCTAGGCAGAGGGTGACTTTTGAAGTTTGGGGTGTAGGCGTCAGGGTTTATGGTAGTTGGGGGTAAAGCACAGAAGCAAATCCAAGATGATAAATCCTTCTACCTGATGGCAACGAAAACTGTCCAGGTTCCATTAGCTAGCGGGGAATCAAGTGGGGGAAAATTTGGAGAGTGAGGCGAGCCCCTGTTGAGATGGTGCCTATAGGGAATTTTATCAGATGATAGCCAGTGGCCATACTGCTTGACTCCCTGAATCATCTGTAGCTGGTGTCAGCCAACAGCCAAGGCTTCAATGCGAAGATGGTCACTGGGCTGGCGACTACGGTGGTCCCCACTTCCTGCTGCCAGGTTCGTGCACATGACAACACCCCCCCCCACACACAACAAGACCGCTCGAAACCTGATATATCCCTTTTCTACTTTTATGTATATATCGCTATAGCCCTAAAAGCCAGTATTGGGTACCTGGACCCTTAGGCAACGGCACCCAAGACATGCAAACCTTGTCATACCCATGGGGCCTGTTAGTTGCCATCCTCTCTGCCCCAAATTAAAGCCCTAAACCCTCCTGATAATAATGTTCCTATATAGTATATACAATACATCAGATGATTATCAGTCTACTGCGAATATGTCTCATTGGGGTTGGTGGGGCTGGGCCAGAGATTTGAATATTAGGGGACGAGATTACTGGGAGAAGGGAGTGGATCATTGACAGGCTTCGTGATCGCCGCCTACATTACAGGCAATTTCAAGACCATCTTCCCAGAAGCCCATCAAAAAGCTATTCAGGCGCTTCTGGGGCAGCTTCCGTGGGGTAAAGAGGCTACAATATAATATAATATAATACATTATAGTATGAAACAATAAAATACCGTATAATATAATATCATATCATATAGTCATAGTCTAAAGGTTAGTTGATGCATGCGGTGTGGGGCTCAGGGACTGGACTGTAGGATTTCCGAAGCAGGGGTGCTGTTGTAGGAGTCCCGATAATCATGACGGCTTTTTTGTGGTGAATAATGGGTACACAAATCGGAACCAACGCCTGTCGAGGAAAAAAAGAAAAAGAAAAAGACAAAACAGAAAAACGAAAATAATGGTTGGGTCGGTGATGCATAGACCGTATGCTTGGCACAGACCCATTTCTGTTTGGAGACCAATGGTTGGGTATTGAGCCCTCTCTCTAACTAACCGACGGATACATCTATCCTCACTCAAGTAGGTGGAAGACGCGAAAGAGCCTTCTCCGAATCGCACGTGCAGACAGTATCTACCTGCACTCCAATCCTAAGCCCTGAACCCTAAGGTGCCCCTATTTAGATTGGTTATGCAGTTGAGGCTTATCTTCTGAACCACCAGCAGCAAGATGGAGGGTGGGGTTCCCACATCGAGTCCCCTAGCACCATGTTCGGCACGGTGCTGAGCCTGGGACGAATGTGAGAAGTGCTTGTGAGGAGGGGTGCGGCTTTGAGCATTCCAGGCTTAAGGTTTCGGATGAGGGGTTAGGGCATAGGATTAAGGGCTTGGGGTATGATTTTCGCCAGCCTGTCGTGTCGAAACACCCAAGTATCAGACAGTTCTGAACATCTGATACATCTAAACTGCGCATGAGGTCCTCCATCAAAAGATTCGATATCCTGCCTTGCGAGGGGCCTATATGCAGTCTTGACCTTAAACTCTAAACCCCAAACCCTAAGTAGTAGTTTCCATCTTCTTTTCCATTATCCCTATGTAACGCTAAATTATACCCCTAAGCTCTGCTGAGCCAAGGAATTACGTGGCCTTGCGCTTGGCTGGTGTGGATGCAGATGATCCCGCATGCAAGGAGGGCCGAAAGTTCATGCAGGAGCATCTGGGTCTGAAAGGAGTGGGTGCCACATGGGCAAAACATGTGATAGATCAAATCTATTGAGAGTTTCTGTTGCGATGATAGGCATTTCGTCATTTTGTCGAGCATGTCACAAAGAGGGTCCTGTTTTGCCCGTTGGCATGTCTTCACACTAGAGCAATTTACATCACATGTTTGGTGCACTAACACCCAGAGCTTCATAATTAGTTGTGTCAGAGGTATCCTAGACATGCAATGCGACGACATGATGAATAGACAGATTCGGTTCCAGAAAGCAGCGCGAATTTTCCCATTGCACGCCTGCAGGGCCCGTGCCAGGCCCCCTTATCCGAAGACCCATGCACACAATCCAACTTTAGACTAGCATTGGTGAATCTGAATTCGGTAGCCTATCAACATATGTATATAACAACCAGAAAATTCTGAGAGGAATAGAATCTGAACCGTAAGCCCTAATAGCCCCTGGGTTCCTACGGTCCCCCAAACTCACCCTAAACCCTGAACCGTAATCCGCTACCCATTTGGTAATTTCCCAAAATAAGGGAATGCTGAAATAGACCCCCAAATTCTATAATCCTTACTATGGGGATCCCCAAATGGCACCCCTAATTTTAGGAGACCCCCATTTGGCTTCCTAAAACAACCGAGGCATGGAGGGGCCCTTTACGCGCCATCATGGGCAAAGTTCTGGCTGGCATGTCTGGGCGTCTACGAATCACGAGCTTCTTCAGTTGTACCCTACCCAGAGGGTCCAAGTACCCAATAATTAGGTCCTTGGGTTTGGGGTAATAATGATTATAGTACAGGTTTTGGGTAAGTATATGATTATTGGGTACTTGGACCCTACGGGCTAAGGCTCTAACGACTCATAGTTTGAGGGCTTTGGGCCCGAAGACCATACTGCAAAAGGCTTTTGAGCTATTTTGAGCCTTAGGGTAGTCTTTTGAGGGTTAAGTTTAGGGTTTGAGAATCTAGGTCTTATGATGTCTTATGGTTTCGGAGCTCTTCTCAAATAGGGGATTCCCCTAGGAGGCTTTCCAGGTGATCACAACCCCAGGTGCAGCAAGACTGAAGAATACTGATCTTTCTTAGGAGGACCCCCCACCCTGCAATAGTGACTATAAAGGATAATGGTAATTATATTAGGGTCCCCTTATATTCCTATAAAACCACTATTACAGGGTGGGGGGTCCACCTACGATCTTTTTGAAGTACCCAATCATGAATCATGCCGGAGCCACCATTCACCTGCCCAGAATCACTGTTGCCGCATGTTCATGAAAACTCGTGTTCTACCCAAACCCCTACCCTGAACCCTAAACGTTGAGAACGTTGAGGAATGGGATGGAATCGCACCAGTTCCCCCAGAGATGTGGATGCTGCCCAGCTGGTTCCCTCTTCACCCTGGCAGGCAGGGGGTGAGTTTGCCAGGAAATACTGGAAAGAAGATTGTCGGAAAAGCAGCGGGGGCATTGTTTGCAGGCGTAAATACTGTATGCATGGGATGATAAGTCATAAGCTCGAAACCTTATACCCTAAAACCCAAACTCCCAAACCCAAACCCAAACCCTAAACTCTAGACCGCTTCAGGTTCTGGTGCCACTGTAGGATGGTCTATCTTCCCATGTGCTGGCTTTACGCGCGCCGTTTCACCTTCAACGCTTCGCAAGATCCCGTGGCCAACGCCCTGAGGCAGGTATTTAGGTTCCTTTAAACGGATATATACGGAGATATATACGGATAGATTTAGGGTTTTGGTTCAGGGCCCTAAAACTCCAAGTACACAAGAGTTAGCTACTTGACTAGTAATTGTACAGATTTTTGGGGCAAGTGTATATGTTTATTACGTACGTGTAACCTTGGCGTTTGATGTTGGAAGTTCAGACTGGGTCGCACGAAAAGTGAGAGGTTTTCTGTCGAGGGGACGGGGGGGGGGGTTAGGTTTAAGGGATTGGCAAAGTGGATGTATTTTTTGAAGGGGTTTAGGGTTCGGAAAAAAATTGAGGTCCCTTTTGCGAGTCCCCTTCATTAGCGCTTTGGGATGTAGAAAGTAACCATGTTGAAAGTATTAAACTGCAGGCGGTGCATTATGGGATTTTGAGTCTTTGCTTGAACCTACTTATGAGATGATTTGGGTCATTCCCCCACCCAGTAACTGTCCTTAAATGGGGCCTTATTAAGAGGGTATTATAATTGTAAACGCTAGCGCGCGCCCGCCTCGGCTGGCGGGGCTTCCCACTGTAGGAACATATAAGTATAGATATACAGGTATTTAAGTTAGGTATATAGATACAATCATATGCCTATTA